ATTTGTTGGAGTGAGAAGAGAAAGGGAGGGTGGCCATTTTCCCCATTTTATAGATGTTTACTTACAGACCCCATAGCAAACAAGTGAGAAGAATGAGATGTTATTGAATACTCTTTTACAAAACAGATTGAGAAGGTCTTTATTGGTTATTAGTATTTTAAATGGTGTTCCTCTAAGTGTTTTGATAATGTTAAATTTTTTGCTTGGGTCACAGCAATCTCTATTTGAGTTACAGAACAACGTAAGTGAAACCTACTATTTTTTCTTTTGCTAGATAAAATTGTCTACTTTTCTTTCTTTCTCTATAAAAGTATGCATGAATCATGAAAAAACTAAGGGGTTAACTATGGATTTGCTCTGTCTTTTCTAAATGCAGAATTTTTTTTTGCTCTTGTAGTCTGTTCTTTTCTGTCATCATTGTATTGTTACTTTTATTATTTTTAAAAGGTGGAGCATGGTAATATAAATGTATGATAAATTTTTTTTCTGTTGCTTGCTGGTAGTAAGGATATGTACATGAATAAATTTCCTGTTACATATTTTATTCTAAATTAAAGGGGGAAAAGTGATTCAAGGGGGAAGATGAGCTTTGGTAGTATGAGTGATGAACTGCAGCATCTGTGAACTCTAGTCAATTTTCCTTCAACTAAGGAAAATCACTTTAACCCTTTCTGGATTATTTATTTGTTGAAATACTTTCATGAAAACAAAATTATATCTATGGCAGTGTTACACCACAAATTGCACTGAAATGCAGAATTGTACCATAGGATATTTCTAATTTCATGCTAATAGAAAAAAAATTTGCCCCCTGAAAGTAAGAACTATAATTTTTCTTAATCAAAGCCAACCTCCTTGGACATCAGATACCTGCTCTTTTGTCCGCCTTTGTTTTCAATGGTATAAAGCTATATATAAGATATAAATTTGTACACAAATATAAATTATTACAAATAAAGTTGTAAATTCTTTTAAATTTTTTTTTCATTTCTTCTTTTAGATGTGATTTTGAAACTCCACAAATGCTTTGAAAGAGGGAGTGGGTTTCTTTCCTTTTTTTTTTTCTTCTGCAGATGTAGTATAAGAGAAATTAAAGTGTGTTCCTCATGAATACTAATAACTTACATTGTTAAACTACTTTGCTTTACAATTTACAAAAAGAGTTTTTCTCACTACATGGTGTTAGCTAAATAATAGCTAGCATTATATAGGGATTTAAGGTTTGTAAAATACTTTACATGTGGTATCTCATATATTATCTTCACAACAACTCTGTGAGGTAGATGCTATCATTTCTTTCCATTTAAAGATGAGGAAACTGAGAATATGAAAGGTAAATTGATTTGCCCAAAGTTACAGCTATTATCTGGGGTAGGATTTGAATTCAGGTCTTCCTAACTCCAAGTCCAATGCTCTATCCACTTTGCCACCTAGGTGCCTAAATAATATCTTTATTACTAAGCCAGTTTTTACCAGTTCAGAACCAGAAAATCAGAGAAGTAAAATGACTTGCCAGATCTAAGTTCTGTCATCTCCAAGTACAATGTCCTTTCTACTACAACGTACTGCTTTTGAAGACTTAAATACCTAATTCCAGTAGACTGTAGTGGACATAATACTTATGTATGAAGGAAGGTGCTCTGCTGTGGGTCTCTTCTCAACTTGATTTGATTCCCAGAATAGGGGAGACCTGTTTATCTTCTAATTAAAAGAGGATGTTAAAAGGTTTTTCTTTTTCAGAATTCTAAAGCTACAAAGGGTCATAGAGGTAGTTAATTAAGACAAAAGACCCATAATTAGTTTTGTAATGTTTCAAAAATGCTGTGTGAAAAAATAAAAGGAGGTGAAGGGTATATTAGGGGAAAATGGGGAAGTTGTTAACACACATAATTAGTTTGTGCGGGTAGAACTATGTACCAACATGGAAGAAGTATGTTGGGGGTGGGGTTCATCTAAACTGGTCAAAAGAGGGCAAACACACACACACACACACACACACACACACACACACACAAAGACTTTGGTGTAGGAATACATTAAATTCAAAAGTAAGGAACAAAAGAGGAGAAATAGGAGTATAAAAGGAAGAGTAGAGTCGAGGAGGAATTAGTCATAAGCAAAAGTCTTAACCTTGAAGGGAGTATAGTGAAAAGAAGGTTAAAAGGAAAACACAGGAAGGGACAACAACTTGAAATAAACAGTATAGAGAAGAAAAAGAAAATATGATGGAGGGAAATAAACAATCATCGTTATTGTGAATGTGAGTGGCATATACTTACCCATAAAAGTAAAGAGCTAAGCAGAATTGTTTAGAAAGCAAAATTCACTGATCTGTTGTTTACAAGAAACACACTTGAAGCGTAGAGACACTGAGGTAAAATAAGGGGTATGAGCAAAATTTGTTATTCCTCCGCTGAACTCAGAAAAGCAGGAGATTTCAGACAAGGAAACAACAAAAATAGACTTAATTAAAAGAGAAATTGGAAAATGACTTTGCTGAATGGTAACATAGATAATTTTGACTCAACATATATGCACTGAATGGTGTAGCTTCTAAATATTAAAAGGAAAATTAATTACAAGTGTTACAAGGAGAAATAGATAGTAAAACCATAAAAGTGGGAAACCTTAATTTATTCTGTCAGCCCCAGATAAACCTAGCCAAAAATAATAAGAAAAAATGAAAGACCTAATAGAATTTTAGAAAAAAAAAGATATGGTAGACCTCTGGTAATTATTGCATAGACATAGAAATGAATATACATATTTCTCAGCTGCGAATGGCACATTTACAAAAATTGATCATGTTTTAAGACATAAAAACCTCAACCAAATGTGGAAAATCAGAAAATATGATACACATCTTACACTAATGAGAATACAATAAAATTATATTAAATGAAGGACCATTGGAAAAGGGTATTAAAAGTTAATTGGAAATGAAATGATTTAATCCTAAAGGTCTGGTGAGTCATATAACAAATAATAGAAAAAAAACCAGATAATTCTATTAAAGATATTGACAACAATGAGAAAACATATCAAACTTTTGGACATGAAACCAAAGAAATTCTTGGGCAAAAAATTATATCTCTAAATACTTTTATTAACAAGAAAAGGGGAGAGAACAGATCAACAAATTAGGAATGTAACTAAAAATATTAAAAAACCCAACAAATAAAAAAACCAAAGCATCAAAATAGAAATCTTGAAAATAAAAAAAAGAGACTAACAAAATTAAGACAAAAAAATTCAATTAACAAATAAAACTATAAGCTGGGTTTTTTTTGGGAGGAAGTTACCCAATTTGCTTAAAAATAAGAGATGAACCAAATTACCAGTATAAAAAGTAAAAAAAAGAACTCATAACAAATGAAGAAGAAATAAAGTATATTAAAAACTATTTTCCCTATATCAATAAAATCAATTTAAATGAAATAAATGAATATCTCTAAAATATAAAATATTCAAAACAACAGAACAAAAAATAGTAAATTTAAACAACACAATTTTTGAGGAAGAAATTGAATAAGCTATATAGGAACTTCCAAAGAAAACTCCAGGATCAGATGGTTTAATGAATGAGTTCTATCAAACATTCAAAGAACAATTAATTCAAGTATTACATAAACTATTTGCAAAAGTAACAAAAGAAAGGATCCTATCAAATCCCTTCTATGACACGGATATGGTCTTGATACATAAACTAGGGAGAGTCAAAACAGAAAACTATAGTCCAATATCCCTAATGAACATGGATGTAAAAATTTTAAATAAAACATTAGCAAAGAGTCTATGAACTATATAATCAGGTTGGGTTTATATCAGGAATGAGCGTTGGGTTAATAATAGAAAAGCCATAAACTTTATTAACAATATTAATAACAAAATAAGCAAAAATCATATGCCTATATCCATAGATGAAGAAAAAACTTTTGACAGAGTAAAACACTCATTTCTGTTAAAACATTAGAAAAATATGAATAAATAAGCCTTTATTTAAAATGATAAATTGTATCTAAAACCAAGAGCTTCCATTAGAATCAAGATAAACTAGAAATATTTCCAGTAAAACCAAGAGTGAAATAAATATGTCCATTGCCAATAACAAGAAAAATTAATTTAAGACATTACCGTAGGTAAACAAGAAACAAAATTATCACTTCACAGATGGTATAATTGTGTACTTAAAGAAATCTAAAGCATCAACTAAAATTAAATTGAAATAACTAATAACTGTAGCAAACTTGCAGGGTATAAAATATATCCAAACAAATCATCAGCATTTCTATATAATACCAATAAAAGCCAGTAGAAAGAGATAGAAAGAGATTCCATTTGAAATGACTATAGAAAATACAAAATATATGGGAGTCTACTTTCAAGATATACAAATACACCTACAAACCACTGTTTACATAAAGACTAAATAATTAGAAAGATAGTAATTACTCATGGGTAGAATGAGTCAATGTAAGAAAAATGACAATATTACCTAAATTAATATACTTAATTTAATGCCATACCAATCAAACGATCAAGAATTACTTTGTTGAACTAGAAAAAAAATGGCATTCATATGAAAGCAAAAAAAAACGTCAAGAATCTCAAGGGAATTAAGGAAAAGAAGTAGGAATAAAAGGAGTCTATCGGTGCCAGATCTCAGACTATACTATGAAACAGTAATTCACAAAACAGTTTGTACTAGTTAAAAAATAGAGATCAATCAATGAAACAGATCAGCCATACAATATGCTGAAGCAAATATATCTAATAACTTAGTATTTGGCAAATACAAAGAGCCAAGCTGTTGGGAAAAGGATTCATTACTTGACAAAAACTACTGAGAAAATTGGATGACATTATGGAAGAAATCACATTTATTTATTTATTTATTTCACCTTTTTTCTTTCTTTTTTTTTTTTTTGGTTAGGCAATGGGGTTAGGTGACTTGCCCAGGGTCACACAGCTAGTAAGTGTTATATGTCTGAGGCTGGATTTGAACTCAAGTCCTCCTGAATCCAGGGCTGGTGCTCTATCCACTGGTGCCATCTAGCTGCCCCAAGAAATTATATTTAGACTAACACCCCACACCTTATAATAAGATAAGCTCCAAATGGGTATGTGACCTAGATACAAAAGGTCACATCATGAGTAAATTAAAGAAACATGGATAAATTACCTATTAAATCCATAGATAGAAAAGTTCATGACCAAACTAGGGATAGACAATCATAGAAGGTAAAATCAATAATTTTTATTATATAAACTTAAAAAGGTTATACACAAACAAATTCAATAAAACTAAGTTTAAAAGGGAAACAGAAAACTAAGAAAATCTTTGCAGCAAGTTTCTCTGGTAAAGGTCTCATTTCTGATATCGAAAAGGAACTAATTCAAATTTATAAGAAGAGCTATTCTCCAACTGTTAAATGGTCTCAAGATTTCAAAAGGCAGTTCTCAAGGGAAGAATCTTAGGATCCTGATAGCTAAATGAAAAAACAATGCTCCAAATTGCTACTAATTTGTGAAATGGAAATTAAAAGAATTCTGAGATTTCACTTCTCCCTCCTCAAATCTTTGTAATCTGGGTTCCATTCTCACCACACTAATGAAACTACTTTTGAGGATAAAAATGATTTAATGGCTATGTCCAATGACTATTTTTCAATCCTCATTGTCTTCTACCTCTGCAGACACTTTTTGGCTTTCATCCCTTTGCTTCTGTGACATTTCACTCTATGGTACTCAATATTTTTTATTTTAATTTCTCAGCCTCTTTGGATATTCCCTTTCTCCAATTCCTCAAATATTAATGTCTCCCAAGGATCTATCCTTGATCTCCTTTTCTTCTATCTTTACTATTTCTCTCTCTTAGGGAGCTACTTTCCTCCCTTTGCTTTAAAGATCATTAGTATGTAAATGGTTTCCAAATCTGAATTTGCACTTTCCAACATCTCCCCAGAGTTTCAGACTCATATTTCCAATCAGCTGCTGAATTTTTCCAATTAGGTGATGCAACAGGATCATTAAAATCTACATCTCCCGAATGGAATTCACTTTGCCCCAATTTCCTAGACCCTGCTCCATCATTTCTTAACTTGAATTGAGAGTGGCACTGTCATTTTAGTCCAACTTGGTTGAAAACTCAGTCATTTTTGACTTTTCCTTGTTTTTGACTTTTCCTATCCAATAAATTGTGAAATCTGGCCAATTCTTCTTCTGCAACATTTAGATGTTTTTTCCTTCCTTTCCACTTCACAGAATCATAGAATCTCCTCTGTAAAAGGACAGGATTAGACTCAATGGCCTCTAAAGTCTCTCCTAGGCCTAAATATATGATCCTATGAAATCTAATTTATATTATGTACTGGCATGGTGGTAGGTGTTGGAGATAATAAAGACAAAAATGAAAGAGTTTCTATAGGGAACTTAAGACAATGATTTTGACTGCTAGCTTAGGTTTGTTGTTGTGCTTTCCCTCACTTTTAGCTCATTTGCATGGGAGAATAAAGGAATTTTAGAATTGGGGAAGTAGAGTTTGGGGGACCTCAAACTCTAGAGTCCAGTAGAAGTCTGGAGGAGTAGCCTGTAAAAGCTAAAGCCAAAAGGTATAGTTTAGTTATCAGAAATTAAACTGGATTTTACATGGACTTCCAGACTCAAAATCAGACAGAAACTTTTGAGAGAGGATTTGTTCTTGGTGGTCAAGAAATACTAGTGAAAAAATATATTTAAGCCTGAAGGCACCCATAGGTTTGATCACATCATTCCTCTAATCAAAATCTCTCATTGGCTCTCCATTGCTAACAGATTAAAATGCTAATACTAGTATTTGAGGCCATTCATAATCTGGAGGCATTCCTCTCCTTCTTAATCTCACAATATTTTGTTTAATATACTCCATATTCCAGATAAACTGTATTAGTCACTGTTATGTTCTTGCCTGCACTATCTTGTCTTTGTCTCATGTCTTAAGACCTGGAAAGGCTCATGCTATCCCCTATGTTTGGAATAGACTCCTTCTTTTTCACTTTATTTCCTTCATTTAAACCCCATCTAAGGTACTACCTCCTCCATAGTTCTCTCCTTTCCCCAAAACCTTTTATAATGTCAAGTACACAGTAGGCATTCCCAGACAGAAGTGATTTTTTTCTTCTTCATACTTCTCACAGTGATCTTGCTTAAGTCACTTTAACTCTTTGTGTTTTGTTTCTTCATCTAAAATGTGAAAAGATTAGATGATAAATGAATAAAAAATAATTTATTAAATGTTTACTATGGGAATTGATGAGGTCACTAAGGAAGAGTATAGATAAGAGATGAGGGTCCAGGAAAGAATCTTAGAGAATAGCTACAGTTAGGGCATATGATCTGGATGATGAGCTGAGGAGTGGTTAGACAGATAGAAAGAGAACCAATATGGTATCATGAAAACCAAGAAGGGGGGAAAATGTTCAGGAGAAGAGGGTGGTCAACAATGTCAAATGTGTTAGTGTGGTCAAGAAGGATGGAGACTGAGAAAATACCATTAGATTTAGGAATTAAGAGATCATTACTAGCTTTGGATTGAGCACTTGCAGTTGAGTGATGAGGTTGGAAGCCATATTACAAATGATTTTGGAGTGAGTGACAAAAGAGGAAGTTGAAGCAATGAGTGTACACAGCTTTTTAAAAGAGTACAGCTACTAAAAGAGTAGAGATACAGGATGATCGCTTGAGGGGATAGTAAGGTTTAATTGAGTTTTTTCCCAATAAATTTTTATTGTTATCATTTGGTTTTTTTTACATAACCAAAATTTCTCCTAGCATTCCTCCTCTTCCCCTTCCAGAGAGAAATCCATACAACAAATAACATTTAAGAAGGAAGAAAGAAAAAGAGGAAGAGACAAAAATAAGAAAAGCTGATTAATAATTTTCTTAAATCTAAAAATGTATGCAATGTACCATTCCCATTGACTTACTACCTCTGCAAAGAAGTGGGGTGGAAGTGTTGTGAAAAAAATTCTTTTTTTTAAGGTGAGGGAGATGACATGTTTGGAGGAAGTACAAAAGGAACCACTAAATAGGGACAGACTGAAGATTAAAGAGATAGAAGGAATGATTGAGGGGAAAATCTGCTGAAGAAGATGGAAGAGGATGGAGTCAGGGATATATAGAGAAGATAGTCTAGGCAGGATCATGTCATTTTTAGACATTGTGAGAAAGGAAGAGAATGAGAGATAGAGGTTTTCAAGATGAAGAGAAGGGGAGAAGGAGTTAAACAGGAATTACCTTAACTTTTTCAGCAAAGTTAAGTGGTAAGGTTTGCCAATGAGAGACTGGGAGGAGGGGGAGATGTGAGGAGAGTAGAGAAGGGTTGAGATCATTTTTTTAGGGGAGTGATATTGGGAATCAAGGAGGAATCAAAGGACTGTCTTGCTGCAGTGAGGACAGAGGTAGGATAACATGAATTCATAGTGTGCTCATCATGGCTGTAATTTCCTCTAGCTCTGTTCAGCAGCTAGAAGGAACATGGTGAGAGCAATTGAGGGCTGAAGTTTACCCAGGATGTGTGGTGATAGAACAAAGTGGCAAGTGATTCAAGAGTTGATGATGGTATGGAGTTGAATTGGTTAATTTTATAGTTAAGTTTAGGAAGGGAGGAAAGTGAAGTCAGAACAATGGTAATAGTTTGAAAAAGAATGACAGGTGGAGGTATTGAAGGTTGAGGTGAAGGTGGAGAATAGGTCCAGGAGGATGAGGCATAGGGAGAAATGGAATAATGAGTTCATCATCAGATGAGGAGTTGTCAGAAGGAAGTAGAACAGTTGAGGGTGATCCAGGGTGTGACCATCCCTGTGTGGAGCTGACTTGGAAAGAAGGAGCAGGTCAAGAGATTTGAAACTGAGGAATTGGATAGAGAGTTTGAAGGAGAATCGATATGCATAAAGGTGGAAGTTGGAGATGAAAAAGTTAGCAAGTCAGGTACTAAACTCCTAGGGAAAGGAAGGGGAATAACCTAAGAGTAGTTGGCAACAGCCAACATGATTCAAATAGAGTTTGAAGGAGAATCGATATGCATAAAGGTGGAAGTTGGAGATGAAAAAGTTAGCAAGTCAGGTACTAAACTCCTAGGGAAAGGAAGGGGAATAACCTAAGAGTAGTTGGCAACAGCCAACATGATTCAAATAGAGTGAGGATGATGCTGTGAACTTTGAAGAAGATAAAGATGTTGCTGAGCAACGACAACAAAAGGAGAATCTAGAAGTGGCAATGGGAAACTAGGAGCATTCCAGCTTCTCCCTAGGACTAGTATGTTGGGAAAGGGAAGAACAGTAAAAGTATAGTCAGTATTGGAGAGGATAACTAGGGATGTAGTGTCATTTGGGAAAAGCAAAATCTCAGTGAGGGAAATAGTTGGAAGCAATGCAAGGGAAAAAGGTTCACGATGCAGAAAAGTTTGGTCACTATAGAGCAGGAAGTCAAGGGGCATAGTGGAAGGGATGGGCATAATTAGAGTGGGTCATGATAGAAAAAGAGTTGAGAAGAATTGGGATAAGTGACTAGAAAGTGGGGATTGGGTATAGTTTGTTCTTAGGTGAGCAACGATTAACACAGGGATAGAAAAAGAAACATGATAGGATCTTGTTAATCATAGGATAGCAGTGGATGACAGATGAATAATAATGCTCATAGTCTCCAAGGGCTATGAAAGGGCAAGGGGTATGGAACTTTGTTCATTCTGCTTGCTTCGCCTAGCAACAGAGTGGGATGGGTAGGTTATGGACAGTGGTGCAACCTGGTTCTGCCCCCCATCCTCACTCCCAGCTGGCAGATGTGCTGCCTTTGGATAGATATATTTTATTCAAAACTAACAGGATAAGTAAAAAGGATGGTGGAGTAGAATTGTATGTTAAGAAAGTATAATCATATAAAGAAATCTGAGAAACAAAGGCAGGTAAACATGGAAGAGAGCATTTGGATGAAAATCAATAGATGGAGGTACAAATAGAAGGGATTTTGTCATTAGAGCATATTACTGATCCCCTGGACAGGAAGAAGAAATAGATGAGGAGTTTAAGAAACAGGTCACATGTAAAAAATTGTAGTCAGGGTTCCCAGCCATGCCTGGATCTTTTGAATAAAATTCTCCTAATTGTTGAAGAGAGTGCTGATGCCAGGATGTGTGCCTACAGGAGGGGCATAGCTGGGAAAAGAATTTTGGAGAGGAGAGACAGTTCTTTTTAAAAAGGGTACAAGTGGTGACAGAATCTTTTGAGGAGCTGGCTTCACTTATACGTCTGAAGCTTCCATAGTTTGTCTCTTTCTCTCTATGTATCTGGTGTTGGTTCCCAAAAGAGTCTGGCACCAAATGTGCCCTCTTGAAGAAATGTCTTTCCTCTCCAGAGTTCTCAGACCAACTCTGTCCCTCACAAGGTCATGCAGCCTTATGCCAACATTCTCTCTACCTGGATTACAGTCATAATGAGAGACTTCAATTTTACAGCATCTTCTGTAACTGCTCAAAGCAGAGCAGCTAATAACTTAACTTACTTATAATGATTTCTATCTTCCAAAGTAGGAGAACCAACAAGTGAAAATTCCATTTTATATCTGTTTTCACCAACAAGGAGGGACTGGTTGCTGGTATTAGAAAAGACAAGAACTTTGAGGGGAAATATGCACTCTGTCTTAGGGTTTGTGACAGAGGAGAGAAGAAAGCTGGATCTGACATGTAGCCCTAGATTTGAGAAGAACAAATTTCAAAGGTTCAAAAGTAGAAGAGGTAGTCTTCTATGAACAAAATTCAATGACAGAAGTCAACTTAGGAAGGATAGAATGGAATTCTAAACACCATTCTGCTCTTGGGGGTTTGCCATATTGGTACTGGATCTAGTGTGGATAACTGATCAGCGTTAGTCCATTATATATAGCTTGGGACACCATCAGGTTCAGTCCCAGTATCAATGATTAGAGGCCAAGTCACCATTCCTAGAAGTATTTATTTGTTTTTAAAACTATATTGGGTGAAAGAGTCTAATAAAAGAAGGGATGGGACTACTGGATGGCTTGGCGGGGACAATGATTACTGATAAGAGAAAAAAGGCAGAGCTGCAAAATTATTTTGTTTCTGTTTTCTCTGCCAAGGAGAATAGTCTATGTATCAGAAAGAGCAGACAAAAAAATAGTTAATAGTGAATTGATATGCAAGCTAAGAAAGAGAACAGTTAGTGGCACCTGAAGAATTCTAATTACCTGGCCCAGATGAATGTCAACCTTAAGAACTGAAGGAACAGGTAGATGTGATTGTCTAAACACTGTCAGTAATATTTGAAAGGTGCTAGAGAACAGGAGATATATCAAAGACTTGGAGAAAGGCAAATGTTTATATTTTCTAAAAAAAGGGAGGGGGAAAGTAGAAAATGGAATCTACATACTACGGACTAGGGAATTTGAGTTTTATTCCTGGAAAAAGTGCTAGAATATATCATTAAGGAGATGATCATTGAACATCTAGAAAAGCAATCAAGTGTTCACAGAGAGCTAGCATGGCTTCATCAAGAACAAGTCATGCCAGGCTAGTCTTATTTCCTCTTTTGATATTCTTACTAAACTGAAGGGATCAGTTGGTGTCGTGTATAGAGAGTATAGTCTTAGAACCAGGAAGACCTGAGTTCAAATCTTGCCTTTAACACATGTTGACTTATGACTCTGGTCAAGTAATAACTTCTCAGTGCTTTAAGCAACTTTCTAAGACAGTAAGATGCAGAGAAGGTACCAGCTTGGTAGAGGGGGTTTCCTCAAGAGGAAACTTATGGGCTTTACTAGTAAAAATCACAGGTTCAGTCCATATCTTGAAAGGTGCAGAAAATGGTAGATCATGAGAATGTTCTAATCAAGGCAAACTTAACTAGGTTTCAGCAAATCATTTGATACAATCTCTCATGGTATTTTTGTAGAAAAGATAGGGGGGAGATGTAGACTCAGAGACTAATAGTACAGATATATACATTTGGAACTGGTTGGAGTCAAACAGTAGTCACTAATGGTTTGATTTCATTTTGGTTGGAGGTCTCCAGTGGAGTGCCCTGTGGATTTTATGCTGGACCTTGTGTTGTTTATTTATTTATTTTTACCAATGACTTAGAAGGCAAATTATCAAATTTGCAGGTGACACAAAGCTAGGAGGTACAACTATTTGGATGAAAGAATCAGGATCAAAAAAGATCCTGAATCATTAGAACATTGTAACAAAACTAATATGATAAAATTTAATAGGAATAAAAATTGAAGTAAAGTGTTATTTGAGGTTTTAAAAATTGGCTTTTTGAGGGGCAGTTAGGTGGCGCAGTGGATAGAGTACTGGCCCTGGATTCAGGAGGACCCGATTTCAAATCTGGCCTCAGACACATAACACTTACTAGCTGTGTGACCCTGGGCAAGTCACTTAACTCCATTGCCTTAAAAAAATTGGCTTTTTGAGTATAAAGTAGAAAAGATATAGTTTAGCAGCAGTTCTTCTGAAAAAGATCTGAAGGTTTTATTGGCTTACAAGCTCAATAAATCAACAGTATATTATGGTGGCCAAAAAAGCTAGATCACATCTGAAGTATAGTTCAAGTCTAGGAGTCACATTTTAGGAAAGATGTTTATAAGTTGGAGACAACTTATAAAGGAGTAGATAGAATAAAGATTCTTGGTTTAATGCCGCTTGAGAATCAGGTAAAGAGACAAAAGTTTAGCTTAGCAGAGTGATTGGAACATAGTTGGTGCTTAATAAATGCTGGCTGAATGAAGAAAGTTCAGGGAGGACAAGATAAATCAATTAATAAGTATTTATTAAATACCTACTGTGTGCCAGACACTGTGCTAGGACCTGGGGATAGATAAAAATACAAAATTTGAAATAATCCCTGTTTGCAAGGAGCCTGCATTCTAATATTACCTGTCTTCAAGTATTTGAGGGGTTATTATATGGAAAAAGGATTGATTGTGTTCTGTTTGGCCCAAGAGAGCCTACCCTGGAGATCTGGGTAGAAGGTGTCAAAAGGTAGGTTTAGCTTTGATATCAGGAAGAACTTCCTAACAGCTGGAGCCAGTCAGAAGAGCAATGGGCTGTGTTGGAGATACTGGGTTCCCTCTCACTGAAGGTCTTGTAAGCAAAGATGTGTTTTTGGATGTGGCACAACAAAGATTCTTTTTTGGGCATAGGTTGGACTACATGGCTGCTGAAGTCCCTTCCAATTCTGAAAATCTATAGCACTGTGATTCCATCCTGCCCCTACCTGCCATGGGTCTGTGGCCCTTGATAGAAATGTGGTTCTTGATCTCTACCTTATGTCGTTCTCTCTCTTCTGTTCCATAAGATTGTGTGGGCTGTTATTCCATTACCTTGGTTATCCTGTCTGACCTTGCCTATGAGCCCTAGTGATTAGCCACTGCTTTTGTAGCCTGAAGTGGTTCAGCAAGAGTCAGCCTGTCTGGTCCCCTGCTAATGCTTGGCTCTTGGCCTGCCCTGTTGATTCCAGTCTAATTAAAATCACGTGCCAATTTCTGCTATGACTTGGTATTTTAGCTTTACCTAATCCTAGTAATCTTGCTCCCCTTAGATGGCAACTGTCAATAGTCAGGGCAGCCTGACTTATTTCACTGCTTCATGGTGACAGCATTGCCTTTCTTTCCTTCTTTGGTAGGCTTTATTGATGCTTTTTCTTTCTTAAAAAATCACCATCTCTTTACAATGACTACTCCAGCCCTCTATTCCAGCCCTCTCCTATAATAAGTAAACACATCCAATCAAAGCAAACCAGCACTTTTGTCATGCCAGAAAATGCACCCTTCTTCTGCACCTGTGAATATAGGTGGGAGATATGCTTCACCATCGAGTCTTCTAAAGTCATGATTGGTCACTCTGCATAGATCAGAGTTCCAAATTGTTTCAATGTTTCTTTCCTTCACATTATTATGGACATCTTGTAAATTGTTCTCTTTCATCTGCTTACTTTGCTCAGCATCAGTTTATGCAATATTTTTCATGTTTTTAAAAGTTTTTCATATTCATTATTTCTTAATAGCATGATAATATTCCCTTATATCCATATATCACTATTTGTTCAGCCTCTATTGATTTGAATTTTTCCTTCCAGTGCTTTGTTTTTACAAAAAGTGGCTTTAATTTTTTTTATTATATAAGAACTTTTCATCTGTCTTTAGCCTCCTTGTAGTATGTCCTTAGTGGTTGTATCACTGTATCAAGGGTATGTAGAGTTTGGGCATTTGTAGAGTATAACTCCAAATCTGTTTGCCAGAAGCTGATTATCACAGTTATACCACAAGCTCATTCATCTGCCTGTCTTCCCACAACCCTGCCAACATTAATCATTTTTGTCTTTTATTATCCTTGCCAATTTGTTGGTTGGACAGCATCACTTTTCCAAGAGCATAGCATTACTCACTTCCTGAATGGTATTGATTTTTGAAGTTTCATTGTCCTCTTTTAGGTATTCAGAAACTGCCCTGCTATTTGTTAGAGATGGCTGTGTAAGTTCACATCTGTGGTTGCAGCTGTCCGATCTTCATTGGCCAGAAGTCAGAGGACGTGAAGATAGCTCAGACTGGGACCATCAAATTCATCTGGTCTGATCATTGCTGCTTCTTTGAAAATACCAGGGGACTGGTGCTTCCAGGTCCTGATTTCATAGTTTTAATATAGAGAAGAGCCCCTGTAAATCAAAGTGATAGGAGATTTTGGTCTTGGGTCATAGAAATATAAATGTAGCCCAATTTTTTGAATGTCAAATGTACTGAGAATTAGATTGTATACCTCATATTACATACCTATTATTAAAGGATGAGGGAATGAATG